TTGCCCTGGGAATAAAAATGAAAGGATGCCTAATAAGAGGTCTGTTGAATCTGCCTGTTGACTAAAAGAGGTGACATGAGTGAGGTAGGAAACACAGTGTGTGTATCTTGGTGGATCCTCTGCTTTTCTCTCAAAATCTTTATTTGAAATAATTAATTGAAACACAACCCCACAGAGTATGTAAAATTGTTTCTCCCTGACTAGTCTTGACCACTCAGACAAGAGATTGAAAAAGTCAACCATTTTCACAGTCTTCATCAGAAAAGCTCAAATGGATTCTCAGCTAGTAAAAAAAAAAAAAAAAAATCACTGTTAGACCTTGTGGTGGTAATAGAAATATCTCCTGCTGTGCCCCCACTTGAATTTGYCCTGGTTAGTGGGATACATGCTCTCTGCTTGCTTCAGTGCCTGAGTTCTACGTATTTGTCCATGTGTTTTAATGTCTTCATCCCCAATTGCAGAATTTGTGTTTCTTGCATACCCTTAGATCTGTAATTTTTGTTTTAATCTGTAACGCCAACCTATCTCTCTTCCTCCACTGAATGGTTACTTTTTATAGAAAAGAGAAGATTGAGAGAAGATCTGATCAATATGTATAAGTATCTGAGGGAAGAATGTMGTGAGGAAGGGACCAAAGTCTTCTCAGTGGTGACCAGTGACAGGACAAGGAGTAATGGGAGTAAGTTGAAACACAGGCAGTTCCTCCTCCATGTRAGGAGGAACTTCTTTCCTGTGAGGGTGACAGAGCCCTGGCACAGGCTGCCCAGGGAGGTTGTGGAGTCTCCTTCTCTGGAGATCTTCCCAACCTGCCTGGATGCCGCCCTGTGCCCCGTGCTCTGGGTGTCTCTGCTGGAGCAGGGGGTCTGTGATTCTGTGAAAAGTATTTATGTAGGCAGACACAATTTCCACTTTTATGGCTTTTGAGAAAAATGTAGCATCATCATCGCTCTTAATTACAAGAACAGATRAAATAACCCAGGAATTACTATGTCCCATTTGACACTGCCTGCCTAATTCTCCTTGTGAGAAACCTGTTTGCCTCCTGAAGTCACCATGTGGGTTTTTGGGTAAGAATCCTGACCTTTGGCTCTCCCTGCATCCTGCATCATTAATCAGCTAATATCAGAAAGACAGCTATTCGGGATTTTTTGTGTGCTCTAGATTAGGGATTCATGCCATCATAGAAATTTGAAGGATTCTCTCTGAATACTGTGTCTGAGGAAGATGCCTCTGTTGCATGGAGTTTGGAGCATGATTTCAAAAAAGATGAAGACTACTAGACATAATACAGAAGAAAGCAGCAAGGATAATCAGAGGGGTAGAAAATGCAGCCGATGAAGAAAGTCTTTCAATCTTCAGGTTTGATTGTTTAGTCTAAAGAACAGAAATTGAAAAGAAATCCATAATAGCCTTCAAGTGTGTACACATCTCTCCAAAGGAGGACAGAAACATTCCTCATGTCCAGTGGGAGCAGAGCAAAGGGTAGTAGGTTTAAATTACAACAAAGAGAGATTTAGGTGAGACATTATGGAGGAAAAAAAAAAAAAGAACCTTTCTAGTGTAAGGATAGTTAAGCACAAGAATTGCCTAGGGAGGTTATGAAGAGGTTAGACAAACATCTGTCAGAAATGATTTAGGTATAGCTAATCCTGCTGTGAGATAAAGTGTTGGACTAAATAACCTTTTGAGGTCCCTTCTAGCACTGTTTTCTGTGAATCTGTGATGAGGATACTGCACTCATTTTGTCCCACAGTAAGATGTTTCCGTGGAGGGATTATGTGACTGTACCTTGCCTAGAATGTTCTTCATTTTAGCTTTAAGCCAGTGGGTGGAATGATGATCTAATGTTCAAAGTGTGTTAGTTTTACCACCTTAATAACTTGAGGCAAGGGGCTTCTTCAAGAGCTTCTTATGAGTCCCATAAGGAGGCAACTGTTTGGGCACCGCACTAAACATGTGCCTATGAGAAGAGCTGAAGATCCCAGCCTTGGAAACAGTGGCTTTTACCATGTCCTTTGAACGTGTAGGCAACATGGGCTCAGTTTCCGCCTATAAAGGCAGTGCAAGAAGAAAAATAAAACAGCCGTGAAAAGAAATGTATCCTAGCTTCTCCATTAGTGAAACCAAAATAAAAGCTGAGTGTTACACCAGTTGTGAAGCATCCTGGATTTGACAGATAGCAATATTCAAACGTCAGATATTATCAGTGTTATATCATCAGGGAGGTCAGGAAAGGCATCAGGTTAAGGCTGTCTTTGGTCACTGCAACATGCACACCCCTTAGCTTTGTGCCCCAGTTTGGCATTGGGCTTGCCTGCAGAGTTTGTGCCCAGCATTGTGTCTGTGTGCTGGGGCTTCCTCTCAGCCCCGTGGCGGTGAGGCTGGAAAAACTCCATCTGGAAAAACAGGGAATAAGAAATTTCGGCTATGAAAGTAGCTTTAAAGAAGCTCCTCTTGCTCTACGTGTAATGTTGGTAGAGACTGAATTTGATTGGGACCACTGCTTTTGCAAACACTAGGCCAATATCGCTTTGGAAGAGGGGAGCATTGCGCTCCATAGCAGTGATGCCACCACCATTTGGTGGGACTCCTCTCAAACCTAACAGGGAAAACAAGACTGTCCTTGAGATCTGTTGATTGCTGATAAAATTTAAGGTTCATCCTCAGATGATATCCACAGCATAATCTTATTTTAATGTGTTATTAGTGTAATAGTGCAATGTAGTGTTCATAGTAAAGAATTTCACTAATGAAGGGACCTCTTTCAATCCTGTGCATACTTATTCTGCCTACCCATTTGCTTTCTCTGGGCACAATGCCCAAAAATACCTTTTGATGCTGTCCTTCCTCTGTCCCCCTGTCCCTTCAAAGAGTACGAGGTTGTCACCAGTTGGTGTCGTGCTATCTGCAAACAGATTGCGTGTGTCCCTCAGAGCTGAGCTAAGAGCAAATATAGACTCTTTAAATTACATGTGTTGTTTAAAGATGACAAATGCAGAATGGTCTGCAGGATCTATCTGCTAATATGTTAAATGTATTTAATATAGTTAAATAAAAGAGTTTTTAATAAAGCAGCAATAGTTTTAATAATGACAAGTGCATTTAATTTTGCCTGGGAAAAAATAATGCAAATGACAACCTTTGCTGTACTTTCACTGAAGTAGATGCTTTGCAGATTTATTTGAAACCCTGAAGCACCCRTTTGAAGCAGAGTTTCAAAATGGACTTGTTTACCTTGCAACATTTGTGAAGCCAACAGAAGTATTCCCATTAAAAAGACAGAGATTTGATTTCCCAGCCTGCTGTCATGTGCTCCCCAGGGAGAACAGCGAGATGGACAGGAGATGCAGCTGGGCAGGAACCAGAGCTTCCTGGGCATGGCCATGGTGCCATAGCCTGCCGGGGTGGGAAGTTGCTGTGTCCTCCCTCCTCTCCTCCCGTGGTCATCACTTGAGCCTCTCTCTACTGATAACCCGTTTTTTACCAAAAGCTATGCCTTTCTAAGGCGATACAAATGCAGGTGTAATTGGGATGTCATGTTGTCAGAATCTATTTCAAATAGTTTTCAGAGATACAAGTACTTTTAAAGTGGTAAGTATGCCAGAACTAACAGTATTATCAGTTTGATTTACTGCCAGCCAGTCAGCTTTACAAAAATCAATCCCCAAGCTTGTGAAATATCTCCCTAAAATGTGTAGTTTTTTACTCTATCAATAATCAGAAAAAAAAAAAAAGAGAAGTGAAGTTCCAGATTTATCTTTCTTATTTCTAAACCTGATTCAGGAGTTTACTGGTTGAAAGGTACCTCAGAGATTGCTCAGTTACACAGGAGCATGTGTATGGGAGAGAGAGGTTATTGAAATCATGAGTTATAAAAAGTGAAAAAAAAAAAAAAAGAGTGATCGTTGGACATTTTGGTTGACACTTCTAACTAAGACTGTCAGGGAAGAAATGTGGTATGTTAATATTCTGAATCATTAACACATGATGCCTCTATAATAATGGAACTTAAGCAGCAATAGTTCCCATCAGACGTCCCTYAATATTTATGGCATGTTTGTATGATGCACTGAGAGACAACTATATCTATTTCATTTGAGCTTTGAGCTGACACTTCAATTTTAAATCAGCTAAAAAACACCTTAGCTTAAACCTGAGCTTCTCCTTGATACTGTTTGTCTTTTGTCATCTCTCTATATGAGTACACTGGAAGACATTATAGGCAATCTGCTATAGTGTCTGTACATGGTACATTTGACCTCTGGAGAAGAAAAGAGTTTCGTCCTCCAGTGCTTTTAATTCTTATCCTTGCAGAGACTGAATTTGTTGCTTGAATTAAAATAGTGTGTCTCATTAAGACTAAGATGCAGTGACCCACGGTAGCATACGGGATGCATTTGTCAACGCTGCAACTTCAGGGCTTTCAGTTCATGTGTGTCTTAGCAGCAAATCAACGCAGAAATCAATTGATCAGGCTGCCAATGAGTGGGTCTTTCTTGTCAGTGTTCTGCATCTCACTGGGTGGTACARGGCAGAACAGATTTGGACTTAACAGTAGATAACTGAAACTCTAAAAACTCTAGATCCCAAATAAACACAAATCTTATGACCAGCAGGAACTGGAAGTTGTCTTGAATTTTGAGGATATTCATGTCCTGATTCTGAACTTCAGAGTTCAAACTTGTCCTCCTTTGCCAGCAGTTCTGAAATACTCCAAATGCAGCCAAAGCAGTGTCCACTTGTCTCCCCTGCAATGAAACAAGCTCTCAGTGCTCTGTGCTATTCCCACAGGCTGGGGCTASAGCCTGAACAATTCCTAACAGCCAGTGTATGCAAATGTCAATTATATCATATTTTTGTTTATTTCCAATATTTATATGTGTATTTAAGTACTTGCCAATTTCTTTTAAACATGATGCAGTCAAATAGACAAACTGAGGTCTAAAGGAACAGAGCACTTTATTAGTGATATGCTTAATACAGTTTTTTTCCTCTTGTAGATGCAAGATTTACGGAATACAGAAGGAGCCCAGTATAGTTCCCATCCTCAGATGGCAACCATGAGGCCAAGGGTTCAACCTGCAGATATTAGGCAGCCAGGAATGATGCAGCATGGGCAGCTGACTACTATTAACCAGTCCCAGCTCAGTGCACAGCTTGGTTTGAATATGGGTGGAAACAATGTTCCTCACAACTCACCCTCTCCACCTGGAAGCAAATCTGCAACTCCTTCACCATCCAGTTCAGTCCATGAAGATGAAGGAGAAGATAGCTCTAAGGTAGGCTTAGATGCTAGGATTACAATGTAAATGGTGGATAATTTTAGGACCTGCTAAATGAATCATATGGCCACAGTTATTAAGGTGATACTTTTTTAATGGTTGATGGTTGAATGAAGTGAAAAAGGATTATAAATGCACATCTTCCAGTTTCTACTCAGTTCTTCAGGCAGCTTGCATAAATCATTGGTCTTTGAGGGAACAAACTGGAATCATGTAAAAGATTAAAGGATAACSATTCCTGTAGGACTTGAATATAAAGACTGAGGTTTCACACTTGCATGGAATGGATACTTCTTCCAAGTTAAAGATCAGGCAATTACGCCTACAAAAATGTGAAATGTGTGCACAATATACTAATCTTTGCTACTTGATCACAAGATGAGTGAACATCATAGCAGTCAGAACATAAAGATAACTTTAAAAATCTTGCCTTGAAAATGTCAAAGGACCACTATGCAGTTATACTTTTGGAGGTGGCAATATTCCAGCATGACATATTTTATCTTCATTTTAGTGTCACTACAGCATAAAGTAATAATAATTAATACATGATAAATGTATTTAAATTATAAATAACAATTTATAAAGCAGCTTGCATGCAAAAAGTTCCCAAAACATCCTAAATCTTTAAAACCTGCCCAGTGTTAAGCAAGTCTATTATCTTAATTTTGGAGACAAAAAGATTGTGACTTAGCACAAAATCATCCAAAAAATGGAAACAGAGCATACTGAAATTGAGTGCCTCTTAGCTCTGTTTTATGATCACTACAAAACAGCAGTCCTATTATGCAGGAGTGAAGATGTTGTAACATAGCCATAGCTTGTCAGGAAAAGTTGCAGACTTGCAAGGAATGTTAAAAAAAACACACATTGTGAGTCACTGAGGAGGTATAATCCAGTCAAGAAATGTAAGTCTGATTTGTTTTCAAATTATATTGTTTTACATGCCTCTAGCTATAAAATAATCATGTAATTGAAAACATATGTTTTACTACATTTTGAATAAATTCTGATTCAAAGTTTTATTTCAGGACTTTACCCCAATTTCACAAACTTTAGATTTTAAAAGTTACTGAATAATTCATATATTTTAAATGAGCATTTTCTTACTGAAGGAGACTGTAGAATACAACTATGCAAAAATAATTYCAGGCAGCCTTTACTTTTTCAGAATAATTTATTTGCTACTCCTGTTTCTTTTCTAATATTTTTATATATTGATGGGATTGTGCAAGACRCAGAGAGAGAGAAAGGCCAATGCAATAATTGAGGTATTCTTTTTTCTTGCATTGAATRCTTCAATTAGTTAGCCCCTATGTGTGAGTGTACTACACTTTTTCAGCACTTCATGCTAGCAAAAAATGAAGGATTGTGTTTTCACGCAGACAATGACTCATCTGAAGAGAATATTTTCAATAATGAAACCAACCTCTGCATACCGAGTGAGACTTAGTCCTGGCTCTGTGGAAAACAGTTTATATAGTGTTGGTCTTTTTATTGCCATATTATTTTGGAAACCTCTCCTTAAAATTGTCTTAGTCTTGAGTAGAAAAGGATCAAAAAAAGGAAAACACACAACACAAGTTTAGAAAGAAAAAATAAAGAATAGGCAGAAGATGATAGATTACCTTCAAATTCTTCCGTAATTATCATTTTGTGTGCAAACAATATTTTAAAGAATCTTAAAAATGATGACACAGGTCTTAAAGTAGTCTCTGACTAATTGGGATTAAACTGCAGGCTTGATGGGGAGCAGATTATGCTCCATCAGTCTGCTCTGGGATTTCTTACATCTTCCTGTTAAATGCCTCAAGTTGGCCACAACTGGAGACAGTGCACTGGGCTAGAAYGGCTGATCTGGTGTAATAGTTCCTTTATTCTCCTGTGAAAGCCAGGAGATTTTAATCAATCAGTATAAGGAACAAATGCATTGCTGTAGTTTGTGACTTGAACCCCTTTGTTGAGTATCTTCCAATCATACCGGTCTTCCTGGAAGCTGCCAATGAAGGGAGACAGCTATTCAGTATAAGCCAGTTTTCTACTGAGATCCATTTCCACAGTTGTGACTGTCTGTAATTTTCTYAAAGCTGCTCAGAAGGGCTATGTGAAGCTTCTTCTCATTCCAGAAATTCTCTTCCTAGTGAAAGAAAATGCTGGACGCAGACAGGAAGCCATAGGGCAGCAGTTCTGACTCTTATGAGAGTTGTATCTTTTGCCTGCAAATAAGTTTGCTAAATTTGGGGGATTCTTTTTATTTAATGAATTGTCCTGTAAATATGTGAAAAGATTTAACAGATCAAAGCCRGAGTTCCTTATTGAATCATTAAGTAGCAGAGCACACATTGAGGTCATGTRGTGGCTACTAGAGATGATCACAGTGGAACAGGTTTCAGAGCACAGCTTCATGAAGTCAGTAAGATGTTCCGGCCATGAGGACTATGTATTATTAGTAACAACAATAGTGACATTTTCCTATTTAGTTGGGAAGAAATGTTGGCCCTTTCCTTTACCAACATTGACCAAAAAGACAAAGTATACTTTCAAATGCTGTAGGTCTCCTTTAGTTCAATATCAGATAATATTCATAAATTTATACCAGATGGATACCCAGCCTTATATCTAACAGCGAATCCACTGAACCCTTCATAGCAGATATGTTAGAGAAAACRCAAGTAATAAAAATAAAGAAATCTTAGTGTCCTGCTCATTTTGAACAAATTTATGAAATGAAGATGACCAAGGGTATAAGCAAATGTATGCCTTTGGACTAGAAATACAATTGATCGCTATTGCACCATTGATTCAAGTGCATGTAGGAAATTACTGTATCAACGTAATGTATGCTGGTATCCTAAATACCAGCARTAAAGAAACTTTATAAACTGGTGTAATTGTGCATGCACTGAGCAGTTAATTTGGTGGTAAATATCATTCAAATTGTTCTAAGCCCTACCCAGGCATCACAGAAGAAAAGCATGTACATAGCTACGGGYAGTAGATGCTAAGTGGTTTTGGTCAGTGGTCATTAGAATAAGGTCCGTTTTGTATAGGTCACTTGGACTCTAACTGCACTTAGCTAGAGAGCAAAAAGAGGGAAAGGGGCTGTGTCAAAGAGCAATCAGTTGTGCTAGACCTTCACTCAGAAAGCAAGATGGGTGACGGCGCTTGCTGAAACTGGGAGCATCGTTATGAGGCTGCATCAGGACAGAGGGACAGCTCTTAGCGCCGTGGAAATAGGAACTGCAGCCTTCGACCAAAGCACTTGTCTGCACAGATGGTCTAAGTCTGCTTACGTCTTCTTAATTCAATACGTAGGACTGTGGTTAGAAGAAAAAAAAGGTAAACTTAAAAAAATGTAGCTCTAAGTAACTACAAATACATTCTAAACAAAGTGGCCACTTACCACATGCTTTATTCTGACCAATGGAATATCACATTTAGGTAATTCTTGCCATAATTCATATCGTTGGATCATTAAACATGTACTCTATTATTGCCAAGCATAATTGTGAGATGCTGAAACTGTTATTGGTTTGCAAATATGTATTTCTCTATAGATGGATGGCAGGGTTTTCTTCCATGCTCATTTGAATATCACTTATGAGCGAATTTCAAATAATGTAGTTCAGAGGGAAGATAGCGAGAGGACTGCAAGAAGCAAGAATTAACCAACAGAAACACGATTACCAGAGAACTGCTACAGCATATTCTCTTTATGTGGTAAAGGTTTTACAATATTTACTTTATATGATAAGAGTTATAAGTAGAAATCTGTGTTGTCTATTCAGCCTATTATGCAGATGGTGCTTGATTAAAATCTATTTTAAACTACAGCGATTACTGCAAGATAGTGTGCATAAAACAGCTCTCCCAGCTCCTTTAAAGGCTTTGGCACTATTGCAGTTTATTTTAAATACGCTTATAGACATTTTCCAACTTCTCGAGGGACATTTAGATATCCATGATGTGCCTTACTTGATAGTTTTAAACCCAACACTAGATATTGTTGTGATCTATTACATGTGCAACATGGTTAATGTACACTTTTTTAAAGTGAAAGATTATTGCTTTCTTGTGATAAATAAGTTAAATACATCACCATAATTAAGCAATAAGCCATGACAGGAGGTGGATTACGATGAGCTAACTACACCTCTAGGGATTTTGAGACACAAGTCTATGCTGAGTAGAATATATATGTTTTTTATTTTATTTCCCATCTGTCTCTACTTTGGTGGTTCGAAGTGGAGTCTGTGATGCTGATAGACTGATGGGAGCATAAGGCAGGCCATCATCTCAGCCATTTGCAAGGATATTGGTACTGAAATTTTGGTATTCTTTTTATGTAGTTATTTTTGTATAAGGCCAATAGAATTTCCTCTGCAAGGCTTCTCTTTTTAACAGTGGGTTTTTGAAGTCTCTTGATCAGTTAGTTTGGAGGATTAAGTTTTAGAGTTATTTTCAAAATGATTTACCAGAAGACTTCTAACACAAGTTTTCTCAGAACTTCACCTATTTTAAGGATATTTTTGGTGATATGGTCTACTAATATTCAGAAATCTTGTAAATCTCATTAGTGCAAAAATACTTTGAAAATGTGGCARATAATAAAGATTAAATCTTTAACTATGGCCTCAATTATTGTGAAGGCTCCTTGTTCATGGAGTTTGCTTCAAAGAGTGTTTGGATTAATATTGCCAAATAAACTAAGGAGCATAGGGCATGTCTGCTACACAATGCTCCTTTGAACTTCATTTAGCTGGTAGTTTTCTCTACCTTATGGACTAAAATAAAAGACAAGAGGCAGAGCTAATCTAATGATGGGTAGCACACTGCTGCTGTTTTTTTTCCAGATTTTCCGAAATACTTCCAGCAAGCTCCGATGTTATTAACCTTATACTAAAGATCTATCTAGTATAACATAATACTGTTGAAACAAGCCACTTCATTTTCAAGTGGTAGTCGTCATGTGTTCTCATGATTAAAAAGCCGCAGAGATCCAGGTTGTTCATTCTAGTCACCTGGGCCCTACTGGACACCACAAAATGACTCACATTAAGACAAAAAAAAAGATTTTCTCTCAAAGTGGGGACATGCAGCCATTGTTCTCATATAGTTCTGATGATGTGAAGCGCACCTGCTCTCTGAGTTGTTAAGCATTACAAGCATGTAATGAAAGTCATACYTGTTAGACTGGGACTTCTACACCCGCAGTCTCTTCATACTTCAAATTGTTTAGGATATGCATTATGTTGGCCATGCCATCAAGAGAAAAAGCCTCCTAACCCTCTGCCTAGATCACACATCCTTGCTAGAGGTACAGTGAATTGAGTCGTCAACAGAAGATACATTGCCATGGAGTGTCTGTCTGTTGAAGAATTAAAACAATGTCCTTTTATTTATATATGGGTTTGTAAGACATTTAAGAAAGTAGGGTGCTGTGGTAGTGATGAGGGTTTCTGAATAATTAAATAGCTAAATATACTTTCATGTTCACAAATTTGCATATTTTCATATGCAATTTTTTGACATGGCGCACACACACACACACATAAATTTCTCTTCGTATGCTATTCGTCTTTCACTCCATTTTTCAAGCCACCAGGAATTTTCTTGTACAGCAGCAGAAAAGAAACCTAGAGGGATCAGAAATGATCCTCTCCACGCATCCAGACTAACTCATCCATACTGGTAAAACTTTGTTTCTATAGATTTGATTCAGAGAAGTCACTTTATTCACAATAAGATTCTCTTCAAATTCTCTGGAAGGACACCCACCATTGCAGCAAAAACTGATCTGAGCCCTAGTCTAGGTAGGCCTCTCAAGGAAAAGAGTGAGAAGAGAAAGGTTGAAATKGCAGTGCTGTTGCTGGTTTCAGATGGATCATTTGGTTGAGTTAATGGTCAGTATATAATGAAACACACCCTGAATTTACTCATTATAGGTAGGCATGTAATAGCCGTTAGCAATAGAATCGGGAAGAGATGAAAAGGTGACCAAGTGAACTATAAATGAGATAACAATTACCTGAAAGCAGAATATAAGGCACTTCAAGGGAAACTTTATTTATATTATTTATGTTTGTGTTTGTGTTTGTGTTTGTGTTTGTGTTTATATTTATATTTATATTTATATTTATATTTATATTTATATTTATATTTATATTTATATTTATATTTATATTTATATTTATATTTATATTTWTATTTATTTATAGTGCATTTTGGGGAATCAGATGATGCCAATAATTAGATTTTCAAAAATGACAATTAAAATGCCATTTTACTTGCAAATTCCAAAATGTCTGTCTTTACATAAGCTGGCTGAGTTAAATTGGCTACATTTTTATAATACTTTTCTCGTTCTGTGTTAAAGGTTAATGGAGGAGAGAAGAGACCTGCTTCCGATATGGGAAAGAAACCCAAAACTCCCAAAAAGAAGAAGAAGAAGGACCCAAATGAGCCACAGAAGCCCGTGTCTGCCTATGCATTATTCTTTCGAGACACTCAAGCAGCCATCAAGGGCCAAAACCCAAATGCTACTTTTGGTGAAGTCTCTAAAATTGTAGCATCAATGTGGGACGGCTTAGGAGAAGAACAAAAACAGGTACAGACTATGCTATAGCTTGGAGACTTTGTTTCAAGAATGTGTTATGTGTGTCATCTAAGCACCCTATGTAGCTTCTTTTGTTCATAGAGATGAAACTTATGTGCAGAATATGCTTCTAGGAGAATAAGATAAGGAGAATATCATGTAATTTCTTTTAAGTATATTCATTTTGGGGTGTAAGACAAACTTCAAGATTATATTTAGGATTATTTTATGCTAAAGTCAACAGGTGTAAGTTGGCAGTCCAAACGTGCTGACCATTGCAGACCAGTGATGGATTCAGACAGATCAGCCGTGCTCTAGGGTAGTCTGGTGCACAGTATACACACAAGCTGTGGCAACAAGATCCCATAGTTACTTCCATCTGCATTTTTGCCAGTGGAAGCTGTAGTCCTTTGCACTTTTGTTTTATTGCCTTTAATTTCTTTTCAGTTTAGGCCTAGTTCATGAATAGTCATTGAAGATGGCACCAGTGCTCTTTCCATAGATGCTGACTGACTATTGAGCACTGTATTCTCACTTTTTCAATGGTATCAGTAAGTGTTTTACTTCGTGATAGGATCTCACCTCAGTGCTGAGAAGCCACAAGACCTACAGGGCAAAGTGGAAAACAAGAATAGTAAGGCTCAGACTTGTTAAATGCCAGGATAGTGGKTTTTTTTCATCATTGTCTTGTGGAAATACTCAGAGTGATTGTAAGAGACAGTCAGGTAAAATACAAAGCAGAGTTAAAAGATGCCTTTTGCATGCAAGTGAAAATAATGATTTTACCTACATTCTGATTTCTGCAGTGATTCTTGTTACTCCTTCCTGACCTATTGTGGTCTTTTTCACCAAGGTTTCATAAAGCCAGACAGATTTTAATGCTATTCTTAATAAGCCCTTKTTTGTTTTACATGTGCATTTCAGAAATATAAAACTGTGTTACTTAATTTATAAAACRTAGCAGGACATACAATAATCTCTAACAAACATTTGCCTTGGTACGTTGGTACRTTGGTAAATATGTGTGTAAAGCTCCACTACCCTCAATGAACAAAATGTCAGGAATTACAGGTCCACACAAACACCCTGTAATTTCGAATTAAAATATAAAAGCAGACATATTTTAAAACATACTGAGGTGTTAGAGTTTACTTTAAATGAAATATAATCCTATCATCAATCAAAGCAAAAACTGGTGAAACCCAGCTGTAAACCCTAATGCTGGGTTTTGCACCCTTCAGCTTCCAATTATTTTTGCACTGTCGTGGTCACTGAAGGCCATATACAGGATAGGGTGTATAGAAGTTTTCCAGACTTACTTATGAAGATTTCCTTTCCTTTCCCTGCAAGTTAAACAGACAGGAAGGAAGGAGGAGGGAGGGAAGGACCTTGGTTCTGCAGTGAGAGCAGCAAAGCTGCCTCCTCCCAATTGGACTCTATAGAAACGTGGGCAACTCTAGGTGACATTAGCTGCATTAATGAGTTTACGTGGTAATGACTGGCGTGGTGCTGTGTGTTTGCATAACTGAGGATAGAATAAGTTGGATGGGTAAAGAAAGGGGAATTTTACGTGAGGAACAGCTAGGCAGGGACAAAAAGAATATCTTGAGGGAGAGGTTTTTTGGCTGCAGGAAGGAGATCTAGGTGGGTGTTAGTGTCAGCATGAACAGAGGAAAAATGCTCCACTGAACATATTATTATTACACAATAAATTATACAATTAATAAGATTAATAACAAAAATGAGAACATTGCTTTGAATTCTTTTTGTATGTTAAATCGTTTGGGCTTTAAAGAAAAGGTTTTATGCACTAATAAATGGTGTAGCTAAATCCAGATCTCTGTTAAAAGTAACTGTAATGAGAATCAAGTTTTGGCTCTTAGTGACTAACTAAGGAAAAAAAAAAAAAAAAAAGGTTGTTCTAGCTAGTATCTGCTGTTGAATAAGGAATAAGGCAGCAGGCATTTACAGAGCCTAGCTGGAAAAGACAGAACTTTCTAAATGTCAGGATCAGAGCAGTCACTGGACCTGGCACATTAAGGATATTTTGTTTTGTTTCCTCTTCCTTCTGCCTTGMTTAACCTTGTCCAACAAAGGCCAAGGATAAACCCTAGACTGGACAGATGGTATAGATCAYTCCATAGAGCAGTTAGACATAGTTAGTCACGACTTGGGTAAGATCGTGGTGATGGGTGTTCACTTATGACTCAGAAAGAGGACTGCCTGTGATTTTGGCCGTGTCCCWGAGAGATGGTTTTGGTTCCTCTCTGTGCCAAGCACTGGCAAGCTGGCAGAGAGAGTGCACAGCCCTGCAAGGAATAGCAGGGAGGGACAGAAAAACAGCAAGGTGACAAAGCCACCAGTCTTTCTGTAGAATTCAGTTTTAAGACAAGTGCATCAAAACGTAAAGTTCCTGGCTTTAATTTGGATTTCCTATTCATGGCTGACAGCAATAATTGAGCAAGTCCAACACTGGAAGAGCAGAACAAAATTATTTTCCTTATCTCTGTTGTGCTTAAATTAAGTTGGAACACAGCAGAATGGTGTCCTATGGACTGCTTGTAATACAGCCATAAAAAGGGGMCTGCAACTAGATTTTTAAACCAATTATTCCATGAGTTTGGGTTAGCCTATCTTTGTTGCTCTTTGACTTACTTTGTCTGTTCATTATCATCTATTAAGTACATTGTTAAAACTCCAGGACTGGGCCCTTTCTCATCTAGCACTGCACAAAGAGAATAAAGAATAGTCCCTGTTTCAAAAAAAAAAATTGCAATCCTATTTTTCTAGAATAAATTTAATCTCATTCTTTATTCCATTAAGGATCTAATAGTACAAAGTAATGATTACAAGACATCTTAACTGACTAGATAGTCTATATTTTAAAAGCCTAATTTTTCAKATCCAGAGCATTAGTAACTGTTACAAAACCTCTGTCTCTGGCAGGAAAATTGGACTCTAAAAATACAAATGATTAATGTAGTATTTACAATTTGTCATTGAAGAAGCTTCAGAAAATCAAAAATAGTTAAGTAAAGAAACAATAATATCATTAGAGGAACACTTTATTGATAAATTGTACTTTCTGAAAAAAATTCAATTATCATAAAGCTTCTGGCTTTTATGTTTTGGAACCTAATGCTTATTCTGGAATTTAAATAGAATTATGTTTCCAAATTACGTTTCCTGAATTGGAACTCCTTTTACTATTTAAATAGTAAATATAAATGAATCAGAAAGTAGAACATAATGCAGCTATTGAGAAAGAAGAATAACTTCATATTGTATGCCAAAATGAAATCACCRTTCCTAAGACCCGAGCCAGCTTCTGAAATCCATAGAATTCTTCTTTTTTTTTTTTTCCTTTTTCCTCACAGATTGAACTTAGCATACAGAAAGATATCGAAAGTCAGTACAGAAACTACCCAAGGGCAGTGCATTTTTGCCCAAACTTTTGYAAAAAGTTGGTGACCTGACATGCTAGCCTGTAGCTTGAAAAGGTTTTGTTCGGGAAGCACATGTGCTTTCCAAACTGTGAAGAGACTAGGAAAATGCTACATGAGAAAACAGGCTTTGAAAGACAAAAAAAGCAAGCATTATAATGGGCCAGATCAGGTGCCAGGTATCCTACTGAAATTCGGAGGTGATTATGCTTAAAATGTATCACAGTCTGATTCTCTTACAACAAAGAATGTTGCAATCTATGAGAATAAAATAGATAGCAGCATACTTCTGCTCTTATATTACCATATGAAGACATTTTCATTCATGTCATATATTGTAACTGATGCCATTAGTCTCTGAGCATACGAGGGCCATTTGCAAACAGGCTGGTGTGTGACAGTGTTTTCTTTGTACCGACCTGCAGATGCAAAAGGGTCTAGGAATAAAGGGACATTGAAAGGARGAATGTGCTTCATGGCTTCTTCTGAAATTCCAAGTTAGGTGCAAAAATTACATGCGATCAGAAGAAGGAACTGCATTTTAATTTGTTTTTCACTATAAGTACAGTAATAAACCTGTCAATAGAAAYCAGCTGTAGCAATAATGCATTGGCATGTATTTTCCTCAGTGTRGTAGTCATAACAAAAGGGAGTTTTCAGCAGCTTTCCTAGTTCTTCTCTTAGTATCAGAAACATTGTTTATATATATATACTGTATAGTTAGTACGCTACTTCTGTGCATCCCATTTTTGTAACATATTTATGTACATCATCGCCTTTGCACACATTTTCACTGCAAAGGGGAGAAAAACACCCCCCAGGGAAGAGGGTTCAGCATGCTAAACGCTTGAGTCTCTGGCTTGCAGACAGAATGCTGGTTCAAACTGGGTAAAAAAGGCTACTTAGGTCGTTTTCTGTCCTTAGATGAAAAAGAGAAGTCATTTTAAATCAGTACCAGATGTGCATGTAATAAATGAAGCTTAAGTTTCTAATTGGAGACCGAGCAAAGCTGTAATAGATGTGGCAACTTACAAACAAAATGTTCTTGTTTATATTAGTGCAATTTTAAAATTTCAGCCCAAGACCTTAATAAATGTGCTGTTATTCTAAAAATGGAATTGAATGTCTGTTCAACAGTCAACAAAATTAATCTCGGGTGTAACTTCAGCARTTTGACTGCAGTTCTTAGAGGGATGAATTTGGCCTTCTATGAACAGCTTAGTGTCCGTATGCATACGCATATGCGTGTGTGTGTGTTATTCTGTGTATTTACTTAAACATTGTCCTGGCCTTGCAGAAGGAAGAAAGGTGGATCCAGTTAGGGGACCCAGAACCCAGGGATCAGATGGAGCAGGCGCAGTGGCTGTTTGAGTGCTGTAACATATGCCTTCCTTCAGGCTGCATAATTCATACACAGTAATATATAGCTGCAGCAGTTCAGCTCAATAGCAACACCTCATTATTTTATCCCTCAGTATTTATTCCTATGTTTGACGCCTCATGAAATTACTGTTAATGTGTTTATATAAGGGCAGATCTGACACAAGTGGGAAGAATTTAATTTCCCAC